GACTGTCATTCCTACCTCACGTATGGGAGGCTGAGGCTCCAAGAAATACTTTACCTATCTTATTTCCTGTGCTCCTTGCCTGGCCAGCTCTTTCCGGCCCTTCAGGCCTCAGCTTGCCACATCCTCAAAGAGGACGTTCCTCCCCAACTACGATACACGCCCCCATCATTACTTTCTGCCATCATACCCGTTTTTCTGCCTAGGATTTACACATTTGCAATTATACATGTTTGTTTACTCATGTTTGTTGTCTCCCCCCAGGCAAGAACCAGACTTCACAGAGCTGTGAAGCTTATATTGTAGAGGTGGACCTTTTTAGAAAAAAAAAAAAAAAAAAAAAGAAAATCACAAACACAAACTTAGATAGAGGGCTCTGAAGGGGTCTGCACAAACGAGAGGCTTTGAGGGCTCAGTGACACTTGCTTGGATGTAGGTGAACCCTGGGTCTCTCCTCCTTGATTATCATCCCCACTGGGGCAGGGGATGGCCCCAGGGCTCATCATGGGGGTCTGGTGCATAGTAGGGAAGAAAGTCAAAGTGGGGGCAGAAGCAGGTGAATCGGAGCTTGGGAGAGGACCACCCTTCCCAGGGCAGACAACCAGATGGACAGAGGCCTCTGGAGATGGTTCTAAGCTTGGTGGCCAGGTGAGCGGGGATGAGCCTCGATGAGCGGTGGGAAGAAGGCTGAGTCCCAGGCCCTCCGGACTCCAGGGCCCTGCCCTTCGCCCCATTCTAGGCAGCTCCCTGGGGGCTAAGCTGGATGGAACCAGGAGGACGGGATGTTGAGGTTGCCAGAAACTTGCCAAGAATCTCAGGCAGAGGGCACTGGGGCAGAGGCAGGGGCACATGGCCTGCCTGCGGGTACCGACTGGGTCAGAAGTAGGACTGAGGAGTTCTGCTGCCTGGGCACCAGCCCTTTGCCCCAAAGAGCCACAGGACAGCTGGACCCAGCCTGGATTTGGGCCCCCAGGGACTGAGCAGCGGTGAGAAGCGTGGTAGAGAAGAAAGCTCGGGGAGGATGGAGGAGGAAGGGCCAGGTCTGAGGCCTGGATGGGGCAAGGGCTTCTGGAGGGGAGAGGCCTGCAGGGCACATGCTGGGTTGGGGGGCAGCAAGTATAGCCTGACCGCTGTGCGCCAGGCATGGTTCTCCGTGTGCTTTTCAGGAAGTGACACATTTCATTCTCTGCACAACCCATGGTGTAGGGACCATTATAGCCCCTTTACGGCAGATGAGAAAACAGAGATGCAGAGAAGGCCATGACCGCCCACGGTCACAGGGCCAGCAAAGATGGCTCAGTTTGTCTCTTCAGAGTGTGTGTTTCTCCTCTCTGTCGTGTCTCAGCTGGCCACCTTCTGGGTGGTCAGGTGTGAGTGTGTCTTTGAGGCTCAGACAGATGCACATATGTATGTCCATACACGTATGTCATGCTTAGGGTTTGCCTGGCCTGTGTTCGTGGATGGGCACGATGTGTTGATGTTTTTCCCAGTCTGTGTGTTTTTATGTTTCTCAGTATGTCTGAAGGCATGTTTGTATGTATGTGTCATGGCCCATGTTTCTTAGCCCCAGAGTTTATCTGTGTCTGCATTTTTCTTGGCCTGTGGGATTGCATGGGCAAGTGTCTGTATATGTATGGACGTATATACTCATATTTGTGTGCGTCCTGGTGTGTGTGTGTGTGTGTGTGTGGCGCCACTTCCCACTCCTATCCAATGCATCACGAAGTCCTGTCCACTCTGCCCCTCTAGAAACCTCTGGAATCTAGCCTTTCTCCCACCTTCATGGACCCCTCATCTAGATGTTTATAACAAGTCTTTGTGTGTCTCTGATTTTGCCCTCTTCAGTCTCTTCTCCACATAGCATCCAGAGGATCTTTCTAGGACTTCAATCTGGGCACATACTCCTAACCTTGCAACACCCCCACCCTTGCTGTCAGGATAAAGCCCCAAATCCTGGACACAGCCTCCCAAACCAGGTGCCATCTGGGCCCTCTGCCCACCCAGCCCCCACTTCCTCCCTCCCTTGCTGAGCTCTCTCTGTGCTGTAATGAGCCACTTCATTGGGCCTCAAGGTCTCTGCCTGTGCTGTCCCCTTGGCCTCCCTGCCCCTCTTGCCCACAGTCAACACTTCTCATCCTTGGGTCCAATGTCACCTTCCTGGGAAGCCTCCCTCTCACATTTTCTCAGCACTTTCCCTCTTGTATTTGCCACAGTTTATAATTATATATGATTTGTGGGATTATTTGATTAATGTCTGTGTCCCCAGCTCAAATGTTAGTCTGTCCTCACCACTGAGAGCCCAGGCCTGACATAAGTAAACATTCAGTGAATGTCTGTTGAATGAATCTATGTGATTGGAGCTTTTGGGGTCCATAATCAAGGTTGGGGCATGGAGCAGTTTTGAGTTCACACACCCCTGCCCTCAGGAAGCTGGGCTGGCCATCCCTCTATCTCACTGGCCAGATAAGGAAGCCCAGGTGACCTTGCTTCTTCAGAGTCTCAGTTTTGTCACCTCAGAAATGGGGTGATCATAATGACACTAGAACCATTGATTACTGGCAAGATCAAACTGATGACTAGGATTGCTCCAGCCAGCCCGGATGCCCTCAGGGCGGGGGCGGGGTCTGATTCATCCTACTGAGGCCTGGCACCAGGGCAGATCCTCAGGAAATGACAGGTGACTCTCAGGGCTTGTGGAATGAGCCTTTGTGGGAATAAGGGCCTTTGGGTTTGTGAGTAGGACTGGCTCAGCCCTGTGCAAGGGCTGTGCAAGGTGCCCTACCCAGGAGGATTCTGACTCCTCACAACAACCCTCAAGGCAGCACGATTATTATTATCCCAGTGTTACAGTTCACACATTCCTTCACTTCAATAAATATTTAAGTGCCTCTGTGACTGGGATATCAGGCTATGAAAGTGCAGGTAAACAAGGCAGGTACAGTCCCCCTCTTAGGGAACTCACTGTGTAATGGGGAGTAACAGTAATAATAACCTCCACCTCTCATGCATGCTTGCTGTGTGCCAGTGCCAAATGTGCCACACTCATTCAAACCTCACAACCGCCCTTACCAGTCAGGGAGTCCTATCACTGTGTCCATTTTATAGCTCAGAAAGTTGAAACAGAAAGAGGAAGCCTGTTGCCCAGCACCACAGTTTATGACTCCAGGAACCAAGCCTCCAAAGCCCATGTGCTTAACTTTGGTCTGTACTGCCTCTGGGCACACCATCCTGTTTGTGAGGCTATGTCTGGCATTGTGACAGTGAATGCCCTCAGGTCCCAATCTGAGCTCCTAGCCTGTCTGAGTCTGTGCAGGTGTGTGCTTGTGTAGCCAACTCTAGTCCTGTCCTTGGTTAATGATGTAGCCTAGGGGCAGTCTGGGGTCTCCAGGCTTTGGGGCTATGTCAGTTTCTTCCCTTCACAGGAACTTCCCCTAGGTCCTCATTCGGATTCACAAATACTCATAACCTAGCAAGGACTTAATGTGTGCCCCTGCCTGAGGCTTTCAGCATCTCTGTTGGTCTGTCAGTCTTTCTCCAGCTTGCTGAGATCTGTAAATAATGTGACACCTCAGGAACCTAGTTGACAGCCCTCCTTTCTTTGTCCCAGGGAGGGTGTGGCAGTCTGAAGTCCACCCGGGGACCCCTAGTCCTAGAAGGAGTGGCGGTCAGGAAGTTAGACCCCAGTGGTGCTGGGCTGAAGCAGGTGGGCTGACAAGGAATGGGTGCACCGATTGAATGAAGGATGTCAGGATGGACTGTTTTGAGCCGTACTGGCCCTGGGTCATTTCCCACTATCGGGCATCCCTTCCTCCTACCTTTCCCGGACTCACCCCTAAACCTCCTCTTTGGGCAACAGTTTCTAAGCGTCTCCATTATCCTCTGAGTGCTGGGGACCTGAAAATAGGCGCTTGAACCATTCCCTGGTAGGAAACACTGAGGCCAGGTCACACAGCGAGTACGGAGCCAGACCGGGAACCCTGGTCTAGGGGATCGCATTCTGGACACTCTTTCCAAGACGGTACTGGGGCATCCGGTAGTCTTTATGCTGAGGGTAATATTCCGCTCCCACATCACCCATTTTCACGATGGATCATCCCCGCACCCCCTCGCAGGGCGGCAGTGGGCCAGCCCACGGGCTCCCCCACTTCTTGGGACAGTGGGTCAGTCCACTCAGTCCCCAGTTTCCTCGCAGGAGGTCCAAGGTTCCTTCGGTTCTGCAGCCGGCCCCCGCGCGCTCACCTTTGGTTTTGCCTTTTCGCCACCGCCGGCGGCTACGACTCTTGGACTCGTCTTTGGCCCTCTTCGAGGCCGGGGCCCCAGCCGCCCTGGAGGGCCCCGTTCCCCAAACTGACTCCATCAATTTTCCGCCGTCCCCGCGTTGGGGCCGCTTCCAGCCGCTAGGCCCCGCCCCGAGTGCCAATCCTTGCCGCACACCACCACCGGGCCCCCATACCACCCAATCCTGGGCTTGGTCCCCTCTGGGTCCCGCCCTCTGAGCAATAGGGGCCTCACTCCACAGCCGGGTCCCGCCCTCAACCTCTGGGGCCTAAGGCCTGGCCCCGCCCCTTCACGCGCTTTAAAGGGCCCGAGACCAACGAAAATGCAGCCCTAGAGGCGGCGAAAAGTGTCCCCCGGGCAAGACTAGTTGGGAGAACTGCGGGAGTACACCCCAGAAGGGAAGCTCCGATCTCTCGTGCTGGTTCGCAGCCTCGCTTCCCCACTCACCTTCCCACGTAGGGATCCCCTAGAACGCGACCCGGCCCACCTGCTGGAGGGGGAAAGCGGGGCGCCGCAGAGCCTCCGCCTGGCGGGGCGGGGCCGGACAGGGCCCCAGGCAATTCAAAGCCGGGGCGGGGCGCCAGCACTGGAGGCGTGGCTCTGCCTGTGAGCCGTTTGAGAAGGAAGCCCCGCCTTCTTCCTGCCCCCCTGTCTCCTATTGCTCTTTTTCTGGGGGTTTTCTCTGCCTTCTCCCTCTTCAGAGAACGGAAGGGCGGGGGGGAAGGAGAATGCTCGGCGCCTGCGCACTAGCCGGAAGCCGCTGACGGGCCCGCCGCAAGCGGCGGTAGAGGGCCCCACGCGTGCCTGGGGAATGGCGGGAAGCCGAAGAGGCTCGAGGCTCGGGCATGCGCACACAGTCAACTGCCTACCGGGTGCGCGAGAAGCCCCCTTGTCTTGTGTGAGGAGGGCGTCCCCTGAGACTGGGTTCTGGAGCCTAGAGAAACAGCTCTAAATTCTCAGCGACAGAAAAAGCAGACCTCAAACCCTCCCTTTCCATCCTGCTCCTCCTCCTCTCCCTCCTAGAGCACAGGACCAGCTGTGGCCCTGAGAGACACCCTTTTCTCAGCCCTCAGAGAGACGGTCCAGCCTTTCCAGGAGGGATAGACCTCTGGGCTGAGGCCACCATGGCCGGCCCTTCGGACTACTTGGCCCTCACGGGAGCCCCCAGCTTCTGGATTGGGGCTGCACGGCCTCCCCTCAGGCTGCTTCAACAAGTAGCCCCTCATTCCATGGATGAGACTCGCCTGCCCGCTCCGGCCTGACCGGATCGGGGCCTGAGCGCCGAGGAGCTGGAACCCCCTCCGCCCCACCCCAGGGGCACGGCCGCCTGCGTCAGAGGAGGGGGCAGTGATGGCGGCCGGCGGAGCCTGGGGCCCAGCCGCCTCCGATACGGCTCCACGCAACTCTCCCTTCATCCAGCCTTAACCTTGCCCGGGACTTCGGCAGACTGCGCAGCCCCTCTCCCACGGCCCAGTTCCTCTCCCACGGCACCCTTCCTGAGAACATAACCTCCAGGCCATCGAGCCCAGCTGAACGCCGCCTCTCGGGGTGAGGGGGACGGCCTGGCAGAGGAGCGGGTGCCTTCCTGCCCGCCCGTGGCCGACCTGGAGAGCTCAAATATAGCCGAGGCAGGTATTTTCCGCCTAGTGGGCATGGAAAGGCCACGGGGGTAAGTGTCCATGTGCAGCACGGTGTGGCGGGGGCCTAAGGGCTGTGTTTGGGCACCGATGGCTGAATACTGGCAGGGAGGCGGCTTCTCTATTTCCTGGCCCCTGGCCCAGAGCCCTGTCCCGCTTCTGTCTCATTTCCTCCCAGATCGTCCTTGGAGAGGTAGCCTAGTGCAGGGGAAGAAGTCACACCCTGGCTTTGCCACTCCCCATCTGCCCGCCTCCTGCAAGGGCCTTTGCATCTCCAGGCCTGAGCTGCCTCCTGCAAGGGCCTTTGCATCTCCACGCCTGAGCTTCCTCATCTATCGGGTGGGGCTCTTGATCTTTGTCTGGAGGGACTGTTGAGGGATCCCCTGAGCCAACCGGACATACTGGCCATCCTTAGTTACTCCTGACTGAATGAATGACCATCCCTGGGAGGCTCTGGTTCCTCCGGCCTTAAACTCACCTGTGTCCCTGGGATTCTGGCTGGTGGTTTTCTTCCCGTGTGCTGTTTTCCCACCATATCCTGATGCTACTTCATGCTTCCCCTTGAAGGTCAGCTTCGTTCCCAGGGCCACTGTTCTACTCCTTTTGGCTGGTAGATTGCTCTGTACTGGAGACCCCAAATCTGATTCTAAGTCAGAATCGGTGACGCAGTCAAAAGATGTCCTCCATTCTGAGGCTGGTTGCTGTGTGGATAGTTGGTGCAGTTTTGATAGAAATCTCCAGTCGGTTGAAGATCTCTCTTGGGATCTGGCCCCTTGGGCTGGATCTGTTTGCTGGGCTGTAGGGTCTGACTGTTCTGGTCTCTCTTGGGGTATAGATTCAGTCTGGGCAGGTGATTCATTTTTGGGTCCAGGTGTAGGCTGGGCTGGAGGTGTTGATCCAGCTTCTTGTTGCTCTGGAGGTTGCTCTACTGGACCAGGTACTGGCTCGGCTACATGGGCCTCTCTCAATTCTGCCTCCTGTTGAGTTTCAGATTCTTTTTGTGGCCCAGGTCCTTGTTGTGAGGCAGCTTGCTGTTGAGTGAAGGGCACCCTGTGAATGCAAGGTGACTGCTGTGGTGCAGGTTCCTGTGGGGCAAGCAGTTCCTGCCACAAAGCAGAATTTTGTTGGATGCTAGGTCTGTGCTGCTCTTCAGCTTCACGTTGGGCAAGGGGCCCTTGCTGAGTGAGGGGTCTTTGCTGTGGAGCAGGGTCCTGTTGAGTATTGGGCTCCTGATGAGTCTTAGATTCAGCCTGGGCTGTGGCTGTCGGTTTTGGCCCAGGCTCTGTCTGGGTGATAGGTGTCTGGGGTGGCTTAGGCTCCCAGTCAGGACTAGATACTGACTTAGAACCTGGCTTTACTGGTGTTATTTCCCTCTCGGGAGATGTTGATTTCCCAGGTTTCATCCTTCTGGCCCCTCCGCCCCCCAGGCCTCCTTTGTTACAGATTCCTCATTGATTCTTCATGATGGCATCTCCCTTTGGATCCCACTCCTTCGTCCTGGCATCCCTGGTCTTCCTTTTTAAGGCAGTTGGCAAGTGGCACTGCTGACCTCCACTCCTGTGCCAAGTGATGCACTTCTGTGCCTCTTGCTGTGGGAGGAGGGATTAGGATCAGGGGGAGGATGTGTGCCCAGCACTCTCCTACCAGAGGGGAGGGGCTTGCCCTCTTGTGTCATAAATAGGACCCCGCCCCACTTACCACTCAGTTAAAATGTTTTTTTCTCTTAAGGCAAGTATCCCAACTTAGTCTTTTGTTTTAACTCATCTGACAGAAGCCAGATTCTGGATGAGTGCTTTTTTTTTTTTTCCCCTTACACTTCTGATGTTTCAGGAAAGGGTCATGGGGGAGACCCTCATGCTGTTGTAATAATCTTTTCCTCTTTCTTCATTCTTTAAAATGGCTGCCAGTTTAACATCCTATGTTACTGCTTTGATCAGTTCATTCCCATATTAAAGAAAAATGATGTCCTCCCATTTTTACAGCTTGAAGCCCTTTTCAGTGGCATTTGGGATCTTCCACACCATGTCTCTAGCTTTGAACTATGGCTATGCGTATATGTTTTCTGTACTAGACTGGAAATTCACAAGGTAAAATGACCATTAATGCTGCTGCTGATGATAAGAATAATCATAAATATTAAAGGCATTCTATGTGCTGGGAAACTGTGCAAGGGTTGTTTTTCTTGTTTTTTAATCTATATTATCTTTTGTAAGATCGTGTCTGATTTGTTGCCATACCTGCCTTTTTTTAATTTTTTATTAAATTTTTTTTTAATTATTTTTTTTTTGAAAAAATAAATAATTTTTTATTAATTTGACAATTTGGTTATTTTTCCCCAGTACTTCTGCTTTGGTTTCTCCTATGGATAGTAATAACTTATATACTTTATTTACCTGGAGAGGTCTATTGAAACTTTAAAGTCTTTTTTTTTTTTTCAATATATGAAATTTATTGTCAAATTGGTTTCCATACAACACCCAGTGCTCATCCCAAAAGGTGACCTCCTCAATACCCATCACCCACCCTCCCCGCCCTCCCACCCCCCATCAACCCTCAGTTTCTTCTCAGTTTTTAAGAGTCTCTTATGCTTTGGCTCTCTCCCACTCTAACCTCTTTTTTTTTTTTTTCTTCCCCTCCCCCATGGGTTTCTGTTAAGTTTCTCAGGATCCACATAAGAGTGAAACCATATGGTATCTGTCTTTCTCTGTATGGCTTATTTCACTTAGCATCACACTCTCCAGTTCCATCCACGTTGCTACAGAGGGCCATATTTCATTCTTTCTCATTGCCATGTAGTACTCCATTGTGTATATAAACCACAATTTCTTTATCCATTCATCAGTTGATGGACATTTAGGCTCTTTCCATAATTTGGCTATTGTTGAGAGTGCTGCTATAAACATTGGGGTACAAGTGCCCCTATGCACCAGTACTCCTGTATCCCTTGGGTAAATTCCTAGCAGTGCTACCGCTGGGTCATAGGGTATGTCTATTTTTAATTTTCTGAGGAACCTCCACACTGTTTTCCAGAGCGGCTGCACCAGTTTGCATTCCCACCAACAGTGCAAGAGGGTTCCCGTTTCTCCACATCCTCTCCAGCATCTATAGTCTCCTGATCTGTTCATTTTGGCCACTCTGACTGGTGTGAGGTGATATCTGAGTGTGGTTTTGATTTGTATTTCCCTGATGAGGAGCGATGTTGAGCATCTTTTCATGTTCCTGTTGGCCATCTGGATGTCTTCTTTAGAGAAGTGTCTATTCATGTTTTCTGCCCATTTCTTCACTGGATTATTTGTTCTTTGGGTGTGGAGTTTGGTGAGCTCTTTATAGATTTTGGATACTAGCCCTTTGTCCGATATGTCATTTGCAAATATCTTTTCCCATTCCGTTGGTTGCCTTTTAGTTTTGTTGATTGTTTCCTTTGCTGTGCAGAAGATTTTTATCTTCATGAGGTCCCAATAGTTCATTTTTGCTTTTAATTCCCTTGCCTTTGGGGATGTGTCAAGTAAGAAATTGCTATGGCTGAGGTCAGAGAGGTCTTTTCCTGTTTTCTCCTCTAGGGTTTTGATGGTTTCCTGTCTCACATTCAGGTCCTTTATCCATTTTGAGTTTATTTTTGTGAATGGTGTGAGAAAGTGGTCTAGTTTCAGTTTTCTGCATGTTGCTGTCCAGTTCTCCCAGCACCATTTGTTAAAGAGACTGTCTTTTTTCCATTGGATATTCTTTCCTGCTTTGTCAAAGATTAGTTGGCCATACGTTTTTGGGTCTAGTTCTGGGGTTTCTATTCTATTCCATTGGTCTATGTGTCTGTTTTAGTGCCAATACCATGCTGTCTTGATGATTACAGCTTTGTAGTAGATCCTGCCTTTTTTAAAAGTGTTTATTTATATTTGAGAGAGAGCTAGAGAGCAAGCAGGGGAGGGGCAGAGAGGGAGGGAGACACAGAATCCCAAGCAGGCTCCACACTGTCAGCGCAGAGCCCAACGTGGGGCTTAAACTCACGAACTGTGAGATCATGACCTGAGCTGAAATCAAGAGTCGGACCCTTAGCTGACAGAGTCACCCAGGTGCCCTGCTATACCTGCTTTCTTGGCCCCACCTAACTCTTACCCCAAAAAGGTTTGTTGAATGAATGAAAGAATAAAAAGTTGGGCAGTGGAGAGGAAGAGAGTAAGACTGGTGGTGGGGAGAAGTGTGTGTAGAATCTGGGTAGAGTTTGCAGTAGACAGGCTAAAATGGGGGATTGAATGAGCTGCCAGACCCCATTTGAAAGAAATGATTTGACTTATTGCATTTAAAAATATTTATTGGCTTCTGTTTGCTACTTGCCTGGTTATGTTTAGGGTCATTTGGGACCAGCTAAGAAACTGAGGTTTCCAGGTTTCTTTCAGGTAATTAAGGTTAAGCCCAGGGAAAGGGTGTGCGTTGGGCGGGGGGGGGGGGGGGGGGGAGCGGTAGGGCACAGGAAAAGACTAAGAAGAGAAGAGGGCACTAGAGAGAACAGTAATCTTGGAGAAAATGCTTTGTGAAAACACGAGTGGGGACAAGGAGGCGGAGCTGCAAGTGGGAGAACATCGTCTAGGTGCACTCACTGCCTTCTGGACTGAGACAGTTGCATTGGGAGAGTGGGCCTTCAGGGCTCCTATAAAGGCAGAGCAAAGCTTTCCAGCTGACATCGTGTGAGAAATTGCTGGCAGGCTCTGGAGTGCTTGTTTGGTTTCCTGTGGTGCCTTTGGTGCCCTAGGGTTAAAATAAAGACTAATGTTAAAAACATTTAAAAAATTTAATTTTTTTCTCAAAAAAATTTTTAATATTTGTTTAATTTTGAGAGAGAGAGAGAGAGAGAGAGACAGACAGACAGACAGACAGAGCATGAGTGGGGAAGGGACAGAGAGAGAGAGGGAGATACAGAGTCTGAATCAGGCTCCAGGTTCTGAGTTGTCAGCACAGAGCCTGATGTGGGGCTTGAACTCACGAACTGTGAGATCATGACCTGAGCCTAAGCTGAATGCTTAACTGACTGAGCCACCCA